GATACACGGCATGACATAGTGCCGTGGTTGGAGGGTTCGACCGAGATCGCGCGGATACTTTCGGCGGCAGCTCTAAAGGCGTGAAAACCTATTATGGCTTAGCTGGCCGTTAGTAGTCGGGCGATTCGGTTCGAATTTGGATATGACAACCACCTAGCGATACTCTAGTGTGGTTGGAGGGTTCGGCCGAGATCGAATGAGCGGAACGGCTGAAAACGCGGAAAACGTGAAATCCGCGTTTCCCCGTATAACGGCGTTTTGGCTCATCCGATTCGGACGAAAATTTAGTAAGATAATGCTAGCGACTTGAGGAGTGCTGCATTAAATTTTGACACCGATCGCTCAATAACTTTTGGAGTTATTGGCGATAGCGTCCTTGACCAATTCAAAAGGGTGGTGAAATTTCTAATGGCCATTTCCAAATGTCATCGTGAAGCGTCCCGGGGTTCGACTGCAGGTTGCGAGAGCAGCGGCAGTGGTCACTGCGCGCCGGGATGGCAGACCCAGGCGAGATCGGTCGCGATGCGGGTGACATTGGAAAGGTCGGTGAAATTGGTCTTCAACGCTCTGGGAGCGCTATCGCCGGGAGGATCGATGTCTGTAAGACTCTTATGGAGGCTTTTTCATTCTGCCCGGCCGACGGCGATTGATTTCGCAACCGTGGCGGGTTTTTGGTTTGAATTGAAAAGGTATAGGTGAATATGAATGTTTCCTTTTCAATTCAGCGGTCTCCGGCATATCCGTAGGTACAAAATTATGATTTCTATGAATATACGGGGTGTTCTGAAATCCTGAAGCTCGTTCGAAAGGTGGAATACGACAATACTTGTATACGCCGCCTGTGTAATATTCATGTATGTATTACAAATACATGAATTGTAAGTATCCTACAGAGCATGTGAAGGGAGACAGTGCGGGTCAACGGTGACAAAGCGAAGGCCGTCACTTGTTCCGCATTTGGAGATGATACCTACCTATATACATCTAACTGTGAATTTGAATATTTTTCTTCGCTGGAAGCCATCAACAAACTATTTATTTTTATATATTTCATATTACTGCTGAAGTTTTTTGCTAGGTTACCTGTTAAGTACTGTTTGTGTGGCGAACACCGACTCAACAAAAGTAACTCGCGATGAATGGTGTGGAATTTATATACACTGTGCTGCGACCAAAACGCGCCGTTATTTGAAGTTACTCTAGCTTCTCCAGCGGCAGGGTAAGAAAATTACTAAAAAAGGTTTTAAAAATATGAAGTTTTTACAACGGAATTTGAAAAAATAAAATTGATACGTTTCTAAAGGTCAAAGGAAGCTTCTGTATAAATATGACCCACATTCAAAGTTACACCCTGTACATATTGTTGAATTCGGCAAGTAACATAGGTTTCAAAAACCCAATAATATACACTGTCTTCCATTAGAAAAAAACAAGTTTAGTTTGCTACGTTTTTTGAGAACAAATTGTGTAAAAATTTAGTATCGCCATAAAAAAAACTTATATAAACCTATGTATATCTACTGCCCCCCATCTCCCGATCAGCCCCCACTTGTCGGCTGAGAAATTAAAATCGGACCACTTCCAACGCGTTCAGAAATCTTGCAACAAAAATTCAAATTGCAATTGTGCCAAAGCTAATGGTCCGACAGCGCCTGCTTTGTGCACATTTAAAATACATACAATTCACTACTTGCACAGAGTTATGAATTAAAAAAAAAACGCTGTGCTACATTCTAATTATCCGATCGGATCGATCACCTCTCGTATTAATTTCGTATTTCGATTATCTACAAATTGTCTCTTTCAGCAGCATTCAGATTGCTTGGTTAGTTTAGGTTTTATAAACAAAAAACTAAAATAAATGTGTTTTTTACATAAAAATGTTTATAGAAAATTAAATAATGGTAATTTGGAGTAAGAAATATACAAGGTGTTTGTAAATAAGTGCGAAATGCTTTAGGGGATGGTTGCCGACGTTATTTTGTGAAAAAAAGTTCATATAAGTGTAGGTCGAAATATGCTTCGTTTCCGAGATACGAGTTTAAATTTTAATTTTTTAATTATTTTAAAGATTTTAACTTGACAGCCCTATAATTTCAGTGCGCTATATGAATTAGTAGAATTTATGTTTATTTAAATAACAAGATTTTGAGTTAAAGTTAAGCTCGATAAAACTGTGAGGTACTTGTACGACAATTAACAAACAAGTCACTTATAAACATGGGTCGAGGAATGTTTTCTAAGGGAGCTACGCCGCCCTAAATGGGGCCTCTAAAAATTATTTATTTTTAAATATTTCCGAAACGAGTTGAAGGAAAATTATGAATTTTGATACCAAGACGCCATTCGCCAAGTTACCAAGTTACGCCATTCTAAATGGGGCCTAAAAAAATAATATTTTTAAAATATGTCCGATACGAGTTGAAAGAAAATTATGATTTTTGACACAATGAACGCTCATTAAAAGTCGAAGATCATAAATCATCACAAATTTTTTTAAAAATTTAGTCAAGGGGCGTCTCAATTGAGGGGGTCGCCGGCTAAAATTTGTACCAATTTTTTTGTCAAAATTTTCAAATTCAGATACCAACATATATGATAGACCTTAATTTCCTCTACAAAAATGGTATTCTTATTACTTTCGATAAAATGCTCCATTTCCGGGGAAAACGGATTTAAGCATATTTGATAACATTATTTAAACTTTTTAATTTATTTTTTTTTCGAAACTGATTACTTTTTCGATATTTCACCATTTTTTATAGAAAGCTCATTTTACTTACTTTAAATTTGAATGTAGCAACATGTAAAAAATTTGTAGCAAATTTTAACCGAACCTCCTCCCCCCTGCTTCTTGGGACGATTTTTCTAAATTTTATTAAGGTAATGTAATAAATGCTTAGATCCGTTTTTCTCGGAAATGGAACATTTTTTCGAAATAAATAAAGAGTACCATTTTTGTAGAGGGAATGAGTGTCTAGCATATGTCGATAATATGGGCAAATTTTAGCCAACGACCCTCCCAATTGAGACGCCCCTTGACTAAATTTTTTAAAAAATTTGTGATGATTTATGATCTTCGACTTTTAATGAGCATTCATTGTGTCAAAAATCATAATTTTCTTTCAACTCGTTTCGGACATATTTTAAAAATATTATTTTTTTAGGACCCATTCAGAATGGCGTAACTTCGTTAGGAAGCATTTCTCGACCCATGTTTATATGAAAAAATAATCTCAATGTTGGCAATAGAATCAAGTTGTAAATTATTGGTTACTAATTTTGAAACACCCTGTAAAGTTTTATTAAATAAAATAAAGATAAATTAAACACGGATTTATAATTTTTGATTTAAAAATAACTGTTAGATTCAACTGAACAAAAACAAAATTTTCTTAATTTAGGTACATACTACCGCCAAACGGCATACACTTATGGACCACAATGTTTATATATTGTCACAATTTACTTTAAAAATAACTAGTGACATAAAATATTTCTTTGGGACTACTTGCTGCAAAGGTGAAAATAGGAGAGGCAAATCAATGTATTTTAATATTGATAAAAAATGTATAAAATCTATAACAATCTGAACAGTTACCTATCGATTAAAATACGTGAAATATTAAAATTTTGAATAAATTCCCATAAAATATGTTTCAAATCGAAACATACCTTTATATTTAAATTTTATAACTTCAACCATTTCGTTGTTTAGATAACTACATATTTATTCCTCGTTATTGTGTAACGACACGCATGGAAAAAATCTATTAGCCAATTTAAAGTAAATATAAAAATAATGATATTCGAAATTCAAGAATTGCATTTATGGCCATGTGGATACAATAAACAAATTGGGAAGTCACATAATTCAATGGGTCTGGGCCGAAATTTTGAAGAAGGAATACCGTTCCGAAAATTGAAAAAGATTATTTTATCAAACGGTAAAAGATGTGTCAAATTACTCAGTGAATTACCTGGTAGCAAAATCTTGCACAAGACACTTATACAAGACTGCTCTGTACCTACTGCTGAAATCAGCATCAGGTTTACTGCAAGATTCATTGTGCAATTGTCTTGATTAAAGCTTTCAATGGATTTGATTCAGGGCACTTGAGCACAAAGGTATAAATTAAAGCAAGTATTAGGTTGCAGACTTACATTAGAATTAAGTAAGACATATTGTACTTGACTTATACTAATTCACTCCTTTGGACTCAAGTACTTTTGGTTAAGTCTGGTGCAAGTATTGTAAAAGTATCTTGCATAAGAAACGATATAAATTTCAGCAATAGACACAATTTGGCTATTTCAAGTAAACTTGAAACAACTTGTATTAGAATTGCACACGATTGTGTTACCAGGGTTGGAGCCCTTTTTAGCTACAAACAAATACTATTGAAAAAGGAATTAACAATAGAATAAATATAATTTGCTGTGGAAGCAGACAATCAATTAAAATGTAAACTATTTTTTTTTTTTAAGAAACGTCGTTAGTAATTTTAATAATGAAAATAGATCGATTTTTGAAATGATGAAATGTCTGCTAATTGAAGTGTGAGATATTTTTTTGGGTCATTATGGCACTGGTAAATAAAATCCAACTGGGCACTCTGTTCTTTTTTAATTTTAGATTTATTTCAGTAATAATTAATACTTGCCATTGTAAATACTTATTAATAATTATAAATTATTTAATTATTATTTCTGCTAGCGTTATATGATGTGTATTTTTTATTTGCTTTTTTCAATGTAAAATTATTGGTTATGCACAAATGGTTAAAAAAGCCTTAACACAGGGTTTGTTTGACTACTAATTTTTATCACAGGTCGTTAAATACCCAAATGAACAGAAAAGAACTACAATATTACTTTTTCAGACCTCCAGTTCTGGACAACTTAATTTAGCTAAGAATTGGGAAACAGTTGGCCATACAAGTGATTCCTCTAAGAAGTCCCGAACTATACATATTGATGTATATTGTACAGATACAGATATGGAATTATCAGAGACAAGTTCAGATTCTTGGGAATCTACTTCAACCCCTCAAACGGTGTTTGAATCACGAAATGTTTGTGTCACACATGAAAGAGCCAGTGACAGTGGATTACCATTTAAATTAAAGAGACGTTCTCGCAAAAAACCATCAAACCTGACTAAATATGTTGAAATGGATGATTCTGATAATGATGACGTATCAAGCACAAGTTATCCTTCAAAAATAGATTCTTATTCTACAATAAATGATTTTTCATCCAGCATATCCAGTATTAAGTCGTGGAAAAGTCATTCTCTGTTGAGTTGCTCAAATGATTCTGTAAAAAATTTTAATAGAGCTGGTATTCTCCCAAGTGTGGGCAAACCTGTATTGCACGAATTAAACACAGAAAGAAAATATGTCACTCGTGGAAATCCATCGCAGGACTATGGGAAACATACACTCAAACAACAAACTCCTTATAGTAAAACTTTAATTTTAAATGAAAACAATGATATTAAAGAAAATATGATAAACAAGAAGAATGAAAAACATTTTAAAGCATGTGGAAAAGGAATCAGTTCACTTAAGTCAAGTGAGTCAAATTCCTGTATTAAACATAAGGAAGAAATATCCCACCCAAAACTAGATGTTAATAGCACTACTTCATGTCCAGTATTAGAAATTTTACCAAACCCAAGATGTACGGAACAACTTGCTAGTCGTTTTGATCAAGTAATTAATATATTTAAAAATCCTGGACGTCATAAAGGGCCTACAAAAAATCCTGATTGTAATTGTGATTACTGTAGAAGGTATTTTATGTAATTGCTTCAATTTTTCTTTTATCCTGTACAGACAGTACAAAATATTTTTATTAGAGGTTATAAATATGTGTATTGTATATGCATATATATGGAGATATTCATGTACAAACATCGTACCCCTTATTTTTGCACAAACAAAATGACATGGACCAAACTTTTAGGAAATTTTGTTGTGATTTCAAAGCGGTACCTACTTCGAATAATAATTGAATGGTTCGAGGGTTATATTTACTAATTGAATAGGTATCCTGCGTATTTTTACACATTAAAATTCTTCTTGGATCTAAATATTTGTGGGTATAGGTACCAAATTTATTAAAAATTTACCAACTTTTAATGTACTTATGAGGTCAACAAGAACACCGAGATATTCACAATAGAACAAAAATGTATAAAATATCTACGAATAATTGTAGATTGTCAATATTGTCATTTAAAATAGGACCATCAAATTGATTAGGTACTTAATAAAAAAGTGCGGTATCTCATACCGAAATTTAAACTGAAACAGTAGGTACATTACATATTCATTTCATGACAACTCTATATTATGCTCCTGTATAAACTCATCTTCTATATGGGATCATTGCTTGGGGTGGAGTTACTAATACATATCTAAATAAGATACAAATAATCCAAAAATGTATACTTACTAAAAATTATTTGTGATAACCTATCCTAGCAATAATCTATTAGTCATAATTATAGCACCAGAAACAAAGAACAGTCTGTAATTGAACTCAAGGCAAATAAAACTATTATACAAAGATGTAATTTTTTAGGTCCACATTTATTCAATTAACTACCAAATGAGATTAAATACTGATGGTGTGAAAAAATCATATGAGAAAAAAAATAAAAATGTGTATACCATAGTTATTCATCAGTTAATTGACCTAAAAAACATATTAGAATAGGATTCTAAATTTACCTATGCCTTGTGTTTTCTCTTAGTATCTTAAGTATTCTATTCTCCGGCTATGCCATTTAAGTTTCCTATAAAATAAGATAAAAAAAAAGGAAAATAGTTATATTACTTTCATTGAAGATACATATAGGGTGATTCAGAACGTATCCAAAAAAAAATTCTGGATGTACAGGGGACCCTTACAAATACAATTTTGTAAAGAAAAAATCAAAAAGGGCAGTTCGAAAATGATTTAAAAATACACTTCTGCACGCCACTGGAAACTGGTCCACTGTAAAACCTAACCACGGACAATGCAACCGGCATGGCGGTGTGATAAAAACGGACAAAAACCTTCGCAAGGAAAGAAATATGTAAATAGAATTTTATCGCACCTATTTTATATCGACAAATTCAACTGCTTTTGCCTTTATTAATTAATACAATTAATTTGTGTTTTTAAATAATAAAATCATTTGACATACCCGATTTTACAACAATTGTTCAAAATCCACCAACGTGTAAACACATTTGGGTCCGTCTTACTCAGTTTCTACGAACTAACACAAATGTTGTCTTGCTTCACCATAAATTAAAACGATATCCATCAACTCCGAGTTGCTATACACGCAAACCATTTTTGACACTAACTACCCATTTTTGACACTAACTACTAAAAAAATATTGTAAACACAACAGATAACAGGTAAATACTGTTGCAACAACGACTGAAAAATACGATTTCAGTATTCGGAGTCGCTGAGGCCACGTGGCTCTCCACGCGCATTGCAAATGACGCTAGAGACTACAGTTGTCCAGCTATGTAGTCGTTGAATGTACTATAACTTCAATAATTTTTTTCTCGGAAACTATAAGGATTTTACAACATTTTTTTTTTACGATATTGACTCCATTTCTCATGCCGCAACTATTCCCACATTTTTTTGGATAAGTTCTGAATCACCCTGTATATTCGTACTTACCTTTGTCTGTTGTTTTTTTTTTATTTTTCTATGTTAATTTCTTAGTAAGTAAGTGTTATATTTTTATACTTTTATTTTATCAGTAGCACCTAACATGTACAGTATATTATCTTAATAGACTTTATATTTTTAATTTGTTATATTTTAATTAGGCACACAGCCCACGATCAAACGAACGAATATTATTATTATTACATCTATCTTATTATTATTAGAAATAGATCTATCAAAGAGAACACAAGATTAATATATATCTTTGAAATGCAACATTCAATTGTATTTCTATGTATTGTTTTGAAATCATAAGAAAATTTCCTAAACCTTTGGTCAGTACCATTTCTTTCTAATTTCGCAATTAAAAAATAACCGGAGGGGGTAGAATGTTGTGTGAATATCCTCGTACATACGAATACATAATTTACTGTGACAGATATAAGTATGTTGCATTTCTACAGCAATCAGTGATCTGCAACCCTTTAGTAAAGAAAAAAAAATATCCATATATTCGTTGGCATGTTATTCATTTATTATTTTAGTAATTGTTGATAAAATAAAGCAAGATCACATAAATGTTAAAAAAAATGTAGGGACTCACAAATTTTCTATTAGGAAAATAAACACCAAAAAGAAAATATTACAAATTGTATAATCTCCCACTGACTTATGATTAAAAGATAGCCAATAAATAATCGCATACATTTTGAGTTTTATTATAAAATAAATACAATTAAGTTAAATGCACTTATTTAATATACTTTCCAAAGTATTTTAACTATGATTCTATCATTTTATATATATTTATTGAAAACACTGCATGGCATCAATAAATACCATTGTATCCCTAGGTAATCGCTAGAGGCCACTAGATTGATTAAATACCGCAACCGATTGTTCTCATTTTGCCTAAATATCAATTCGATAAATGTCACTTTGTGTTTGACATTTCCAAATATTTCAGTGCATATTAACTGTTACCTACATTTTAATTATCTGTGTTTCTTTCTATTAATAAAAGTTTAAGTAATATTTAAGATGTTTTTCTTTTAACCCTCCATTCAACGGGTTGGGTCTGTGAGTCTGCGACAAAATGTAAATTCATTATATCTTCTTAAAAATTTATAGTATTTTATATTAATTAATTATTAATTTAGATTAATATACTTTTGCCTGATAGACCCCACCCGTATGAATGTGTTGTGAAAAAAGGTCCAAATTGGCAACATGAGTGCTTTCTACAACAGTACAAAAAATGGAGATGTTATTGATATAATGATCACACCATATAATGTTGCAAGAAATACAAAGCGTTTGCTCAATATTGCAGCAATCAACGCATTTGTAATTTACAAGGGCAAAAGTCCAAATGGTGAATTTACCAAATATCATAGGCTATTTCAAATTTTGCTATGGAACAAGAGAATATGAAAAGAAGAGCAGCTGACAAACACCTACCACGAAGTATGTGTACCTCAGCTACAAAGCTTACAGGTGTCACTGAAATGGATGTACCAGCATGAGTGTAGCCATAATTTTTGTTTTTGCAAAAAAAAAACTAGGCTTACCCATATAAAATTTACATACCGATATGACAAAGATGATAATATTAGATCTTTTCTTCTGACTTGGGCACCGGTGCCCCTCCTAGCTACGCCCATGTATACCAGACTCTGCCCCAGGTAAGAAAGGAAATTGTAAATATTGCAAGAGACGCTAAACACGTTTTTTTTTTGCAAAAATTGGTTGTGCATGGAGTAGAGATGTTGAAAAGTATCAATTCGTTACATGAGTACTCGTTACTCGATTGGATAAGTAAACCCGAAGTAAACGATTATTCGTTTGAAAAAGTATTCGTTACTTTTGCTTATCTGATTACTTATTGGATATAGACAATACAGAGTACTTTATCTAATGGAATATGGATACTTTTGCAATGCTCACTTGACACTTATTCATATTATATCGACACGAAACGAGTAGGTACTTGTACTGTTACGTTGCATTTTATTTGTTTTGTGTACCATATTTTTATACCTACTTATATTAGAAAAAATCATTCATACAAAAGACTAAAAATATGCATAAGACTATAAATAGTACATAATCTAAAAAATAATATGTACTTTCGATTTTTGTTTATTTTAAAACTGATTGTTTATTTTCAATATATATTTATATTCGTAATCTGATCGTTGCATTATAATTATTTTTTTTATCAAACAAACCTTAATATTTCAGATATTAACTGCATTTCTTTTTTAAGAGAAATTGAGGTTAGATTATATTCATAATATGATGCGGTTTGATATTTACTCGTCTATAACTTACAGTACTGTATATCAATTAGGTGATTACTATTATATTTAGAATATTTTGAAGCCACTACTCATAGTAATCAAAGTAACGAATACAAAGTACCAACATTGTATAATATATAAAAAATGGTATTATATTTCTTATGGCCGAATAGTTGATCAAATTTTAGTTCTCGAATTCGTTACAAGGAGGAGCCATATGTATGTAAACTTGATATTTAATCGTTCACGTTCAATTTTACACTTTCGATACTGCGCCATCTTATGTTCAATAGTTAAATGATCCATTACACACATATTTCGAAATACAGTTTTCTTGAGATGAAATGACAGGGTAACGGAATAAATTCATATCACGTGACATGGAAATTAGTAAAATACCAGCTACCGGCAGATACGACAAAAAAGCTTCAGTTAATGCGGTTTGAGTTTTTATCTAGGGTTTGAGAAATTATTTAAGTAAGATAATATTAGTTAAATCAATATGTGTGTAATTTAAGCAAGATATTAATTTTAAATTCATTAATTTCAGTATAGCAAAACAGGGCCGGGTGCAAAAGAAATTACGCAGCCGCTTCATAAATACATAAAAAAACAATTATGAACGCATATGATATCAAGGAGTTATATAAAAAAAACAATTGAATGTTGCGTTTTAAAGATATAAACAAAATTAAATTCCTCTACTTTTTCTGATTACAGAAATATATACATAAGAATGTTTGCTTAGACACATTGCATTATATTTGTTAATGAAAAGTAAGACAATTTTTTTAATTTTAATTTTAATTTTTAGGGTTTTTCACGTAACCCGTTCATTAAATTTTGACAGCTATCTGTGTTCAATTTAGTCTTGAAATACTTTCAAGAGTGGGATACTTCCGGTTTCACCGGAAGTGACGTCATCTCCATTGTTTTAAATGGAATACCCCATTTTTTTATATTCATTCGTCGATTCTATGAGTTATTTTGAGTAATTTTTGTCACCACGTCCATGCCTTGAAAATTTATGGTTTTCGTTTTCGAGATATTTAGATTTAAAAAAAAATGCTAGATGAAACGTCGCGAATAATATTAAATATCTCTACCATTTGTATAATTGGACATACTTCCATTATTAGTAGTATTTATTATGTATTCACCGAAAATGTGTCACATTTGACCTAGCTATGCACAAGGTCCTCAAAATTTTGCGGCCAACACGGTAATTTTCAAAGATTGAAAACTAATTTTTTTCAAATGAAACAGTAACAATTTTATCAGTCAGGAACATGTAGAATTAAATTCTGCGTCGACTGAAATAAAGGTTTCCTATACTTATCTTCAACGGTTTTGGAGATAATCACGATTATTTATAAAGGACGAACTTTAACGTGCGTTAATTTATTACTATAATTTTTAGGTAGGGTGTGCCACCAAAAGATATTTTCATTTGAAAAAAATATGTACGTCCCAAAAAACTCTTCGATGAACTTTATTTGCTAATAAATTACATCGTTTAGTATTTTTAACGGGTTTTTGATTTTTGTAGCATTGTATATGGGTCGATTAGAGTAAACTGAAACACACACCTAAATGGAAAACAAAAAAATAAAATAGAAAAAAAAATATGTCTCAAATTTCACTTATGTGGATTCAGATCATTGGATTCAGAAAATTATGAAGAATTTTGTAAGTTACTGTCATTTCCGCCGAAACCGGAAGTGACTGAAAAATCATTAAAATGTCAAAAAGTGAAGTTTAATACGATGTCCCAAATTGCAATAATTTATCTTCAAAACTAAAAAGAAAAAGGGGGTTATATCATCGTTGTTAGTTTAAATTATACCTAGATAGCACTTGATATTACCTATTAGATTTATTTTTATTTTTTTTTTATCTATTTTAATTTTAATTATTTGAGTTTTATATCCGGTATATTGCTGTAATCAGAAAAAGTAGAGGAATTTAAAAAACGATAAATATACAGGGTGTTCCATTAAAAAAAACAAGCATTTTGTTTTATATCTCTCTGAAACGCAATATCCAACTGTTTTTCCATGTAGTTCCTTGATATCACAAGAATATTTACTAAAACTTTGTTTTTTATCATTTTGTCCTAAATAGAAAAGTAAAAAAGATAAGAGGGTTCGGATGTTATGTGAATTATCCTGTACAATCGCCACAAATTTTGGACCAAGCATTCTGAGACATCCTGTATGTATGTGTAATAAATAAACAAGTACTAAAAATCTTTTCACTAATCAACAATTTAAAATTTAAAATTTTTTCTATTTTTGTGAGAAATAATAATTTGAAAATAATTAGTGAATTTTTAATTTTACATTTAAATCGTAATTAAATAGCAAACAAAATATTGAAAAAACAAATTTACTTTGCCTTAATATGTAAAAAAAATTAAACTTTTCAAATGAGCGATAGTTTCATTTATTTATTTAATAATAGTAAAATAATTCCGAAATTGAAATTTTAATTAATATTTCGTTTAACAATAATTTTTGACACTTTTGTAAATTAAAAAAATTGAAGTATAAAGGTGCATTTTTTCTGGGGTTCAAGGCTATTCTACGAATTCGTAAATATGCCCATTGTTATTTTTTCGTCGAGCTACCCCAGTTTAAAAAAAAATAAGTTTCTACGATGAATAAAAGCCGAGATTTTGCAAAATTTACAGCGCGCACTTATTTGAACTTTGCATTTAACTTTTCTCGCCCGCGCGACCGCTTGTACGAGCTTCCCCCACCACTACGCCGCCGGCCGCCGGACAGTTTACTTAGCGAGTAACTTCTCTTTAAAGGGCTCGTGAGTCGTTAATTTTCCACATTTTTCAATGCAATTCACGGAAAATCGTAGTTTACGTCGTAAACTTTATTTTGCGAAAAATTCAAGTTTTAATATTTATAAATTGCGCTACGATTTAAAAAAAATTCTTATCTTGGCTTCTGTTGGTCGTAGAGGGTACTTTTTTTATTTTAAAACTGTATTTTTTTTTCAGCTATCCATTGCATCTATTTTCGGTGAGATAGCATAAATAGCAATAATGGTATTCAAATTGTCTATAAGCGAAAAACGCACGGTTTTTAATACACAATTTGAGAATGTTAATGTCAAAAAAACGGTGATATTTTTTAATAGGTCGCTTAATTGCGTCTTTAAGATTACAATGACGCTTTCAGAATCAAGTTTGATTGAAAATTAACGCCTGTACAGAGGCTTAAAGTTCATAACTTTTGGAGCCTCCGCTATAAACAAATAGAATTGTGCGAAAACTATTGCACCTACAGCGCCCACTTTTGGCACACTTTTATAGTATGACAAAACCCTCAAATTGTCATAGGTTTTATAAAATTTTAACAACAAATCCGATAGTTATTGATGCTTTTCCCTGCAAAGTGAAAAAACTGTTTTCCTCACTTATTTGTTTAAATAAAAAAGTTAGCTAAAGAAAGTGATTCACGAGACGAGAGATGTCTTGTATTATGTTCCTTTAGACAATTTTACAATAATCTCGCGGATAAGACTTTTTTCGAGTTTCTCTTTTATTTTCGCTAATTTTCCTGGTGTAGTAGATCTGCCACCGTGTATAGTGTATACAATATGATGTTATGATGCCCATCGAGATGCGTATTTTAAACGGAGCGAATATACCCCCCGGCGACGACACATGCGACCCTTTTATAGAATGATACATTAATTCCCCAACCATCTGGAATGGTCAATTACAAAATTTTTTGGTAGACCTAATATTTTTTATTTCAATAAATATAAATATAAATAAATTTGTCAAAATTACATTTTTTAATTTTTTCGCATATACCTCATATTTCCAGAACTAATTTAGATAGAGACATCATCATGCATTCATTTAAGAACATTAAAAGAAAACTTACAGCGATAAAATGAGTCAAGTCTTTATATACTAGATACTAGACAATGCCAAGACTTACCTACGTCAATTTCTAGTACAACTTTTTTTTTGAAATGACGAAAACTTGAAATTAGTAGGTATAAAATTATTAGATATAAGTATATACATTCTTGATAATATTTTTGACATACCGACGTTACTCTGGTAGCTTTTTACAAACCCACGAAAAATCATTTTCACCGACACATTGGCTTTTTATTGATAATTAGTAATCACAATGTCCGAGTCGTAAGAAATAGGACCCCGATCATGGACCACGAAAATGTTCTCCGATTTATTCTAAGTTATTCAAGGTGTAAACTCTAATTTTTACCTTTCCTCTATCCTTATCGGTGAAAATAATTCATAAATTAAAATGCAAACTTCTATGAAATTGTGATTAATTTAAAAAATTATTTAAGTTTAAAATTTTTTATTAAACTGCTCAATTTTGATAATGAAATTTGTAAAAATTTTTAAGAATCTTTGAAGTTGAAAATTTTGTATTAAACTTTTAAATAAAATATTTAACTTTCAAAGTATTCCTACCTATGGTATAATGATATTAGGACACCCTGTATATGTATATTTATTTACTCGCCACAATTTTCTTATCCATTTTTTAATTCGTTCTTCACCACCATATTTTTCCGATGGAAATCGATGTAATATTACATTGGGAAATTTTGCTTTAAATTTCCCACATTTATAATATTGACATATATTTCCTGCCATTATTAATTTATTTTAAATACCTATGTATACAGTAAACAGAACACCGATTCAACACCAGTTTTTTATGCATTGTGTAGTGGCGATTTTTTTTATTCCAGTCTTACCTAGAGCCATCTACAAACGAATTACTATACCCCTTGTATAATAACAGTATAGTAGAGACCGCCTAGACCTACAGTTAGTTCTTTAGCACAAATTTCAGAAATATTAATAAGGAGACAGCCGATAGATGTCCACACTATCTTTCGTATCATTTTACTGGTTAACAAAATTTACATGGGGATTATATTACTATATTTACTTATACAATGGTACTGATTACTTATACTGAAAGTAATCGGTACTCATGATTACTCAAAAGTAATCATATTTGACATCTCTAGCATGGAGCACATAATGGCTTGCTGTGGGGAATGTTTTGAAAATTTCAAGATGAAAGTCTGAGAGCCTGTAGTTTGTGCATACATTTTTTTTCTTTCTATGCCATGAATTTTTTAAGTCAATTTGACCATTTTTTAATAAATACCTACTTCCAAAAAACGGTCGTTTTTTCTTCATTAAGGTTCTTTCCCGAATTTTTTATAAAATATATATAAAAAATATATTAAAATTATAACTTCCAATTTTGCCTGAAGTACAAAGAAATAGTTTCATAAACAATTTTATTTCTTGTATTATGAAATTATCCCAAGAAAAAAAACAACTGTCACCAGCGTACTTATCAGTTTTGTTCCTCACAGGCCCTACCCGTGCGAATGTGAAACTGATAGGGCACCCGTTGAACAGAGGGTAATATATTTACTAGAAAGATTTCTCCATTCTCTTGGGCCTTTGGCCCACAGGTGCTCTCTTCACTGGTTGGTAAATATAACATTATTTAACACCCCCTTTTTAAACACCCTCTATGTAAAAGTTTGATAACACATTTTCTCAAAAAAAAAAAAAAAAATACAACCGGCCCGAGATTTGAACCACGGATCTCCGGCTTCACAGTCGAGCGAGCTTACAAACTGAGTTATGGCGGCCCATCAGTGTATGGGGGCTTGTACGGGGTATTTGAAAGTTTGGATCTTCGTGGGCGTAAACACAAAGGCAACAGAAAAACGGACTGAATTAATTTGTACTCCCGTTAAAAAAAGGTTTGGTGTAAAAAAAAATGTTGAATGTATATAAAATTTATAATTAACAATAAGTCAATTTTTCACTTCCAGTTTCTGAATCTAGTAATTATTCACTATACCACATTTCATTATGTTCATGTCGTGAATTTCTCTACTAAAATCTAAGGATCAAAATGAACAACTTTGTATAAAACGTTTTTATTGAAATTCTTATTATTAATCTAAATGATGGATATCTATAGGATTTGCATCTAAAAGCGTTAGTTCTTTATACACAATGCCACGGTTGTGGCAGTTATTGATCAAGATTTCAGATAATGGTTCTTCATTGCATTATAATATTTTTTCAAAACTATGAATATCAAATATAATACATTTTAGTATTATTGTCAGCACCAGTCAGCTATATATGTAAAATCTCTAAATAGATTTTGATCTTGGCTAGTAAGTTGTCTTGGTTCTTTCGGAGGTGTGAGTTGTGGCTTTTCTGATGTGAATTCTTCATCAAAATTGCTTACATCTTCCATAGAATGCTAAAAAAAAATTACCAATTAAAAAAAATTATCAAACTGAAGTAGGAAAAATAAAATACTTCAATAATAGTAATATATGGGATGATTTTTAATGATCAAACTTTAAAAGCAGATAGATTAGCAAATAATTGTGATAGTTTACTGAAAAATTTTTATTTCTGAGATAGTGGCTATTAAAGGACCCCGCACACACCTTATGGAAGTTGGTCTTTCTATAAAATTTCCTGGAAAATTGATTTCTTGTCCCTCTTTTATCACTGATCAAAAGTCTTTATGACAACGAAGCTCTAAATGCCCATCTGGAGGCGGTAGGGCCCACAAAAGGGTAAAAAATAATGAAAAATTGATTCACTCTCAAATATAATTTTTTTAACATATAATGCAGTTTGTTTAACAATGATTTACCATATATTTAATAAAAAGCTGTGAAATGCTCTCACAAATAAAGAATAACGACAATTACCGATGACATTAGAGTAACCTGTTGTGCCACCAAGAGGTTGTCAAGTCGAATTTTGCACATCATTTTGCCTTAAAAAGGACAGTTTCTTTGGGTGTATTTTCAATAAACACACAAAATACCATACATTTTTTTTAATACATGCCATTTTTTATTTATAGGGTTTTATATTAAGTACTTCTTACATTTATATACATATTTTTTATTTGTATTTTATTTATATTCTATATTTAATTTGAACCTATATTATTGTTTCAGTATGAATATTATTTTACTTGTGAAATCTGTAGGTTTACCTGATTTAGTTGACGAATTTTACTAAAATATTATTATTAGTTAAGCAATTATAAAATTAAAGAAAAGCCAAAGAAATTTGTATGTTAAAGTGTGTATAAAATTTTTATTAAAATCTTAGCTGAGCGCTTTCGACGATATAGTCATCATTGGAGCTATTCCTAAAATATCAACAAGAGGTTGAAATGACATTATATAAAGCAAATTTTTACTTACGTTAAATTTTAGATACCAAAAAATATTTAGGAAACGTTCAAATCTTAATAAGTTTGACATAACAATATACAACATTAAATATAACATCAATTACTGGTAAATAACAAGAGAAAGAAACAGAAATTAACTAACAATGTCGAACACGTGAAGTGAAATAAAGTGAGGTTAAATGTTAAATGAAATTGAAAATTTACAATCTACAATTCTAAGGATTACCAACTAAGAGAAAACAAAAATTTTTAAAGTTAAACTACCAATATACTAATAACAAACTATCAGTTGTAAATTAATGAGATTCCCAAAGTTACTTGAATAAAGGTTTAAAATTACAATTTAAATTGACTTGAGTATTAACACAGTTATTAGGGTTCCTTTAAATTTCTCTTAGAATTTCTAAGTCTTCCAATAAATTAATTTTATAAAAATCAAAATTATTATGATTATGAAGATTTTGCTATTGTTTAAAGGTGAAAATGAATGGTTATTAAAATTAATATGATGCCCAAAAGCTGACTTTTCAGGTCTTTTTAAATGTTCATTAATACGAATATTTAATGATCTAATGGTTCTACCAACATAGGTGAGGGGACAATCATTACAAGATAACAAATATATACCGTTATTTGACAATTTATCCTGTGAATCTTTAACTTTAGAAAGTTTTGAACAAATTGACTTATTTACTTTAAAGGAAATTTTGAGATTAGGAATACTTTTAGTTAAAATTTTTGAAATATTATCCTAAATACTACCTAAATAAGATAAAGATCTAAAATTGTAATTATTATCAATGTTAACATTTTGTAAACGAAAAGCTAAATTTATATTTTTCTGAAACAAAATTCTATTAATAGTTCTCTGTACAATATCAGGAGAAAAATCATTATTAATACATAATTGTTGCAATATCTGCACTTCCTTATTGAAATTTAAATTTGACATCAAACAATAGCAAAATTCTTCATAATATTCATAATAATTTTGATTTTCATAAAATTAATTTATTGGAAGACAGAAATTCTAAGAGAAATTAAAAGGAACCCTAATGACTGTGTTAATACTCAAGTCAATTTAAATTGTAATTTTAAACCTTTATTCAAGTATCTTTGGGAATCTCATTAATTTACAACTGATAGTTTGTTATTAGTATATTGGTAGTTTAACTTTAAAAATTTTTGTTTTCTCTTAGTTGGTAATCCTTAGAATTGTAGATTGTAAATTTTCAATTTCATTTAACATTTAACCTCACTTTATTTCACTTCACGTGTTCGACATTGTTAGTTAATTTCTGTTTCTTTCTCTTGTTATTTACCAGTAATTGATGTTATATTTAATGTTGTATATTGTTATGTCAAACTTATTAAGATTTGAACGTTTCCTAAATATTTTTTGGTATCTAAAATTTAACGTAAGTAAAAATTTGCTTTATATAATGTCATTTCAACCTCTTGTTGATATTTTAGGAATAGCTTCGATGATGACTATGTAGTCGAAAGCGCTCAGCTAAGATTTTAATAAAAATTTTATACACACTTTAACATACAAATTTCTTTGGCTTTTCTTTAAATCACCGAAGTGTGTACTCAAGATACAGTCGTTATTATTTAAATATAAAATTACTCGAAAAAAGTCCTATCTGCGAGATTATTGTAAAATTGTCTCTAAAGGAACATAACATGAGACATCTCTCATCTCGTGAGTCAAAACATTTTATTAGCTGACTTTTCTATTTAAACAAATAAGTGAGGAAAACAGTTTTTTCACTTTGCAGGGAAAACCATCAATTTTAGCGAAAAGTGACTCACAGACAGCTTGTAGGGAGTAAAATTATCTATAAAATGAGACTGTTAAATTAAAATCGGTTAATAAACAAAAAAGTTATTGCAAAAATACAAGAAAAGTGCCCATTTTTAAATTTCTTTATAACTATCGCATTTATTATTAAAATTTTATAAAACCAATGACAAGTTGAGGGTTTTGTCATACTTTAAAAATGTGCCAAAAGTGGGCGCTGTAGGTGCAATAGTTTTTGCACAATTCAATTTGTTTATAACAGAGGCTCCAAAAGTTATGAACTTTAAGCCTCTGTACAGGCGTTAATTTTCAACCAAACATGATTATGAAAGCGTCACTATAATCTTAAAGATATAATTAAGCGACCTATTAAAAAATATCACCGTTTGTTTCGGCGAATAGCGGACTGTATAAAAATTAAATGAATTAACAACAACAAAAAAATATTAATGGACTCACCTTTGGGCAAATCGGGGTTCTGGTCCATCACTGGAGAACTCAATAGGATAGGGGAGGGAGATGGGATGATTTCTTAATAACAATCAGCAACAATAATTCAAATTATTTCAATACTAGGCAAAACTAGGCATCGCGTGTCTGCTTCAATTCGAGACTGACTTTTTTACCTATTTACTGATATCGGTATGGAGATAGGTATGTATTTATTTTCCTTTAATTGCAGGCAACCAATATTACCCTTTTAAGAATGCCTAAACATCCTGGGGCGGGGCGGATTAAATTGTAAATTTAATGGAAAATTACATAAACTAAAATTAACAAAATTATACTAAATGTAAGCTAATACTAGGTAATTTATTAAAATTATTGAGTGGGTAATGGACATAATTTGACAGTAGGCCGAATGTACGTGCCATTTTTTGTTTTTACTGTGGCAACGCGTACAATACTATCGTTACCTGGATGCAATTTTTTAATAACAGCTAAGGGCCAATTTAGAGGAGGAATATTATCCTGCATCATAACTACTACGGTATCTACTTTGACCGGATTGGAATCAGTATTCCATTTTAAACGCATCTGTAGGGTATGTAAATACTCTACGTGCCATCTTTTCCAATAGTGTTGTACCATTGCATCTAAGAGTTTATATCTGTCCAAATGACCAAGAGGTTTTAGAGAGAGGTCTTCTGAAGGAAATGAATTTAAGGGAGTTCCATAAAGAAAGTGCGCTGGGGTGAGCGCCGATGGATCATTTGGATCACTACTAAGGATACATAAAGGTCGAGAATTCATGAGAGCCTCGATTTGTACGAGTACAGTATTGAACTCCTCGTACGTGAGAATTTGTGTATTTATCACTCTTTTTAAATGAGCTTTTACACTTTTTATATTCGCCTCCCAAATGCCTCCAAAATGAGGTGCGGAAGGGGGGTTGAATTTCCACTCTATTTTGTTACTTATAAATTCATGCTGCATGGCATTTTTAAATTCGCGGGAATTAGTTAAGGTATAAATTTCATCAAATTTTCTTTTAGAACCCACTAGGTTGGTGGCATTGTCGAAGAATAAAGTAGCACAGAAACCACGCCTAGATATGAATCGTTTAAATGCCAACAGAAACGAATCTATGGAAAGGTCAGAGGCGAGCTCCAAGTGTAATGCTTTGGTTCTAAGGCAAATAAATAAGCAAACATATGCTTTTTGGGTCTTAGCACCTCTACGACAACTTAAAATTATCGTAAATGCACCCGTATAGTCCACCCCGGTGGAGAAAAAGGCCTTGGCTTGACTGACTCTTTCAAAAGGCAAGTTTGACATTAATGGGTAGGTTGGCTTAGGAGCTATACAAAAACAATAATTGCATTTCCAGATGCGTTGGCGAATTAAACTCCTAGCAGATAAAATCCAGTAATTTTGTCTTAATAGTGAATGCAATAAATACGCTCCTGTATGTGCAAACAATTTGTGGTTGTAATCTACAAGTAAGGTAACAAAATGGTCGGATTTAGGTAATAAAATTGGAAACCTTTTATCGAAACTAAGGGTGCTGTTGGCTAATCTGCCTCCTACTCTAATTATTCCTTCACAAATGAAGGGATTGAGTTTACGCAAGTACGGTGGCAGTGGCTTATTTTCTAATATATTTTTATAGTAGCAGTGGAAATGACGCTGCTGGACGGCTTGAATTAAAACTAATTCGGCTTTTTCAAAGTGGAATTTCGTTGATTGCGCGAGTGGTAACATTTTTGCAAATTTTAAAACAAAAATAGTAGAT